GGAGCACCGTGTCACACTGCTAGAAACACACAAAAGTGGCAGGAAGAAAATGGTATCCAGAAGTTGTCCTGACATGAACCCCATCGAAAACCTCTGGGCCATACTCGACCGGCAAGTCAAGAAACAACCAAAAAAACCAACTTCGAAGAGGATCTACTCCAAGTTTTGAAGCAAGGGTGGGTGAAAATCCCACAATATAAAATTGACGAGATAATTCTCACGATGCCCCAAAGGATCAACGAACTCCGCGAAGCGAAAGGAAGATCTACTAGATATTAATTAAATTATAAATATGTCAATTCATGTGAATATGATTGAAAATTTTCATTTTTTCTGAACAGGTGATGTCTGTTTACTTGTGACCACGCTGTGTATATACAGATTTATAATTCTGCGTGACCTAATGTTTAGCGTCTTGGACTGAGAATCTGAGAATATATGGCTCACATGCCGTAACAGTAAAATTGCGTTCTGCACCTTGAGGCCGTAGGTGCGTTATAAGAGTGACGGCATATCCCAAAAGTGGCTTATATTAACCGAAGACGGTGGTGGGTGCTGTTGACTAGCTTTCCTCCCTCTTACCTATCAATTCAAAGTTACGGACAGCTAGCGCAGGTAGTCCTTGTGTAGCTTTACGCGAACATTTGAAACAAAATATGCGATCATTGAGAATAAAGCTAAGAACAATTCACGTATTTTTTCTTGAAATAAAATATATTTCTCTTCTGATTTTCGTTCTTCTTGTGTATCCCCTTATCATAGTATATTCTTTTGTCCATTAAATGGTGAGTTGAGAACGAGTGAGGGCAGAAATGTAGATCATCAAAGGATATATATAACACGGCTATTTTTAATCATTATGTCTCGTACCCATGTCAATCTTGTTCAGCATTTTTTCCTTAACAGCCATCTTTCAGAAGGAATATTCTTTCTTACTACAAGGAGAATTATCCAGAGGATTGTTTTTCAAAAAGAAAAAGAAAAAAAGGTAAACACGCGTCGCGTCGTAAAACAAAGCTTCACTTACTGCTAATTCCTCTCTTTTCTTGGTATCAAAGAAGGTACTGTCATAACAAATTAACTTTTCGTACAGCACAACTATTCGATCAGAAGAGTCAATCGTGTAACACCACTGGGGGCGATGTCATATTGGCGACTGACATTTTTGGCCCAAAGTTTACACGTAATGCTAATTGCCACACCTACCTTTGGTTGGCGAAATCGTATCACCACTAGGGGTGGCATATAATCAGGATGACCCGTATAGGGAAAAAAATTCACGGGGAAACCTTGCTCTGGCATGAAGAGAATTGGGCCCATATTCTCTTTATCCACATCGGTGTCACCCTGACAGTCAATGAAAGCGAAGGCGGGGTTGTATCCGTAGCGAAGCTCTTTTGGTAAATATCTCCTGAGTTCTAGATCTCTGGTACTGTATGGCTGTGGTTCCCAGCCAGTGATATTTGAGAACTGAAGGAAAATACATGGACTTCCGTCCTGATAACCGAAGAAGTTGCTAGCCCGACAGTCTGGCGATATCTGACTGGTATCGAAAAGACATGCATATCCTTCTGGTGGCAGTTGTCCAAAACATTCCGTTCTGTTTCGTTTAACATTATGTTTTGAGTCGTAGTTAGACATTAACTTGCTCAGTTCATTGACAAGGTTAGGCCAGTCTGCTCCCTCGTGAGGAAGACTTCCATGTCGAAAATGGATTAACTGATAGCGTCCTTCTGGTCGTGGATGTACCATCATCAGACGTGGTGTGATGTCCCGATATGTTTCTGATGAGTCTTCCATCGCCAGAAGTGTTATGATCAGAACGACAGTGATCAATAGAATGGCCACCAGCACAGCTATCCACCACATAACCCGTGGTTTAGCCAACCAGGAACGAAATCCTTTATCTCTACCTTCTTTACCGGATGCAGTAGCGCCGTCTTTTTCTTTAGTTTCTATCGCAACGGATACATCTACGCTTTCAGCTTTAAGAGGAACATCGTCTGTTGCTTCATCCTCCTTCTTTCCGTCCATGTTTTCCATGACAAATGCTTCTCTGTTTTCGTTTCTGCTTTTGTCAGTCATTCCAGCTTCTGTCTTTAGTTGAAACTATAATCGCAAGTTTGCGAAAAAAGCTTCTTTATTTTCCGAGCTATTTTCTTAAATGTTCTTCTTTTGAAAGGAAGTGTTCTCTTTTCTGAAAGAAAAAGTTAAATGTTAGTATCCTCAAAACAAAGCTTTACTATTATTTGAAAACCGGTAAATTATAATTTTAAGTTACTTGTTTTTTTCTACCATTAATCAAAGTCAACAACAACAATCATATAAATGAATGAAAGCATCTAACAAATGGCTTGTTTCTATTGTTAATAAGGAAGATGTCTAACTTATGAATCATTACCTCTTTATTTTTTCTTGTGTATTGGACTCATGACGTTAAGTAGTTCTATTCAGTTTGCTATAGAGTATTGATTGGCCTCATTAATTTGTAAGTTGCTTTTTAGTACTGATAAATGTACATGTCTCTCGCTCATAATCGTTGCTAAGCTACTTGTTAGATTCCTACTTCAACGATTACAAACTGACTATTAAAAAAGTGGTAACATATCTTCCAAATAACGGGTAGGATTTTATTTGTTTTCAAATATTCACACAAAGCTACTCTAGGGCTAGTTGCGCTAGCCGAGAATGTCTAGCTAGAATAGCTAGAAGATATTTTCGTTCCAAGATTCATACTTTTACAATGAAATGCACAATTATATCAGCATCTGCTGGGTTTTTAAATAGAAAAGATATATTTTCAAGTAAAAAAAGGTTTTTATTACTTTTACTCTGTGCCTACCAATGAGACAATAAAGTTCACTGAAGAAAGGATGTCTGTCTTTTCTATTAAAGCCGTATTCTTTCCCTCTTGTTTATGAATACAAAATTGGGAAAGCTATTTTTAGAAATAGAATCATTTGCACCAGCTCCCCCTAGTGGCAAGTAGTACCCTCTAAATGCCACGCTACTTATCTTGAGAGAAATATTCTAATTATGAAAACAATTCATATATTTCAACTCTGTTTGAACTTTTAGTAGATTTCATACTATTAAAATTATTTCTGTGAGACATTGGATGTAACAAATAGATACTTATCCATTTTTAGCATTTATTTCAAAATTATAGTTTCAAGAAAATAAAGAAACTCGACATGTCCTTCAGTTTTCGAAACTATATTTCTTGATCCCATTGGATATTGGAGTAAATAAACGTATTTAAAGCCATAAACGTTGGATATATATATAATTGAATACTGAGTGGTTAGTCATGCGAATTCGCTTAGGAAAAAATGTTTATCTTAGCAAAAGTGCAGTACATCGAACTGCTGCTTTAACACATTTAAATTGCTTCTTTCTTATGGCAGTGGCGCCACAGCTCTTAGCATGACTTTGAAAATGTTGTCCAATGAGGTTCCATGACTTTCTAGCCTCTGAAAGTGTTGTCCAATGAGATTGCAAGATATCTTCAAAGTACATCCTCACTGTAAATGATATGGGAGCTCAGTGCCATGAATTATTGATTGTCCTCAAGAGTAACCTGTCTGTTATGCAGCTCGCTTGGTGTGTTGCAGCAATTGCTGCTTGCGTCGGAGGAATTATCTCAATAGATCCTCCATTTTTGCAGTGTTATTTCCGTGTTACGTTGACAGACTTCTCAGAAATTATCCATTCATAAAACAGTAAATGGATCATTCTATAACTAACAGGATGTCTTCTTCTATAGGCTTGGGTTACTATACAAGGTAACATGTTCAATTCTCACTTCGTCATAAGCCTTTTATGTGTTCTTGAAATGTTTTCCCTCAGTTGCAAAATGCAGAAACTATATCGCAGCCAGTGACACTGTGGAACATCAGAAAAGCTTTTGATTTTCCCTCCACAAAAGCTGTAGCCATGTCATGAGCTACCAAGTACCTGAAATTCTTTCCTGTGTCAAAGCCCACTCACAGCTCATCTACAAGAGCTTTTGATTTTTCCCCCAAAAGAGCTGTAGTCATGTCATGAGCTGCCAAATACCTAAAATTATCTTGTGCCAAAAACCAACGACTTGGATTTTACTGAATAACGACTCAGCAATCAATGAACATCCGTGTCAACCGCGAGAAGTAGGATTTGTTTGGCAACAACGGCTGCATGCAGAAACAACCTAGAGTCTGCTTGTCATGGGTACATAGGACAGGGTGTGATACGTCATCTCGGGCTGGATTTTTCAATACATATCCATTTGTTATGATCAACTGTGTTTATGGCACAGCTATCACACGTCTTGCAAAACGTTGAACAACTCCATTTTGTTGTCAGTATTTCGTAGAAATCCTTTACAGTTTTCAAGAAGTGTACTAATACCAGTCACTCGCCTTCTAATTCCCTTCCCTCTCTTACTTCTAGTTGCGGCCTTCAAGCTGTTCGACGAGTATTGGTCCCAGATAATGCCGAGCCTATTAACGTGCTGCAACTGACGGTCCATGAATAACATGAATACTTTTGATTCATGTTCAGGAACTATTTGCAATGCCTGCATCAAGCAGGTTGATTATTACTTCACCATCAACGACATTGGCATCGACAACTGGGGCATCTGTGTGAGGTGGTACAAGACTCTCTAAGCTTTCTGTTAAGTACGTTTTGTTTCAAATCGAATTCGCTTTTAGTGAGCAATACTTGCCACTAGAGACGCTGGTGCAATGCCTCCATATCTAAAAATAGTCAGAATGTCACAAGGCATTTTTGCGTTAAGTTTCGTGGTTTACCGTAAAATGCACAATTTCTTCGACATTTCTCAGAATCTGATGGACTATAAGTATGTTTACACTCCATCTCATTTTCATTGAGTGTAATTTTGTTTCTTACTCTAAAAAATATTATTAGTTTCAAGTTCCGACTCTATTGATTTTTGTGTTCTATATTTTATAGCTGTTTTAGTAAAGGAAAATAAAAAAACGGAACGATCAAACACGCTGTATTGGACGCCCTACTTAAGCCTTGACCAATTCAATGCATAATACACCTCAATCACAAATTAAAATTAACTGCCAAGCAGTTCCCGATTTATGACGTCGAAACTGATTCATCCTTATACGATTTGAGTTAGTCTGTTTTTTATATATGCCTAGAATGTACACTTCAACAGTAATAAAGTATACAATTTGCTCTAATAATGAAAAAATTGTGGCAATCATTCAAGCCTAATTTATACCTCAAAACATGTTAAAAACAAGATTACAACATGCTTTCAGACAAATAATGTTTATCAAAGTAGTGCATAAAGTTTCTTTCATAACTCCTAGCTCTCAAACAAAACATCTTAGACAAACGTATGCGTGAACTGCAATCATAATATTATTGTTTTACCATGTCGGGTTTTTATTACATATTCCCATGATACACGTTGTGTAATATTTGTTAGAAATGTTTAGATATGTTATGTACATAATCTTGTGGGAAGTTCTTCACATTGGTTTATCAAATGAATCTAAGCATTTATTCTACACCTGATGCCCCTCATGGAGAATCTTGTGAAAATATTCAAATCTGTTATGTACTGAAGTACGTGAAAAAAAAGGCTGAAGCTTCCACTATAACGATTTTTTATGGTTTACGTTAGATCACAATGTCTTCAGATGATGAGATTTTTCTCTGTGTGTTTTTATTTCACAGGAACGAAAATCGAGAAGCTAATAAAAACGTGAAAGAAACATGCTTCGAGTACTTTTATACCCTATAGGCCGCAAGTACTTGGATCTGGTTAAATTATCATCACTGTTTATCTGGTGATTTATTTTGTTATTCTATGATTTCCTATAAAACCAAAATCACCAGGTTTTTTTTTAGCTTTTAAATCAATAAATGATTTATTCTACCATATGAGACAGTGAAGTAAACATGAATATTATTTTTTGTGATTTAACAGGATCTTTGCTTTTAGTTCCAACCATTTTGGTATACTTTCTATTTCTGTAGTTCCACTTAAACATTAACGTTGAATTACTTTATCTATTAATGCAAAATATTTTGAGTTTGTAAACTTGAATTGTAAAGTATCAGTTGAAGTCCAAGGGAGAACACTAATCCGTAAAATTTTAAATGTTCGCTTTTAGGCATCTTTTGGTTATTGTTAAAATGAGACATTAAATATCCATTTTTATCAAGTTCTATAACTAAAAAAAATTAGGCTATTTGTACAGTTGATAAGAATATGGGTTTTTGGAAACAACTACACTGATATCTTGTTACAAGTTGTTCTAATGACGTTTTTCAACAGCCCTGCTTCGTACGTTTCCGAGTTGTTAGCATACTAGTATTGTGAAACCGAAAAATCATAGTGCGCGTCTCGCTGGCGCAAAAACGGGGTTCACACTTTCGAACGGTGGGTGTTGTAAGAGTGGCAGTCAAATCCCAGTATTGATCAGTTAATCAGTTGCCTTTTCTTTAGTTTGTCAGCTCAGAATTACGGACGGCCATGCGCAGATAACATTTCTGTGTAGCTTTGCGCAGACATTTGAAAGAAACACCCAAACTAAAAGGAGTTATTAACACCCTTGAACTGTTTATCGAGCAACGTAAAAATCTTGAAGATTATATTTAAAAAAGAAATTATTTAACCAACAAAAAATATATGAATAAGTAATAAAGTAGTATACATTTCTTCCAAACTCTTTTATGAATAAAAAAATCCTTTCATATATAGCCTTACAGTGAAGTTATCCACCAGAGAAACATGTGTCTAATATTTAAGTAACAAACCCTACTGGACTTTATGGGTACTAAAACCCTTCCATGAAGACAATTTCATGGTGTTAAGTGTTTAGAATGATTTTGGGATTTAAAATGTGGAAATGGTCCCTATATGGAGGAGTCAGTTAAGCCTACTGCGAGGTTTTGCATTATTATTGTTCTTCATCGTGAACATTAAGAATGCATAAAAATGAAATGAAAAACTTATTGTAACGTTTTGTGAACTCCAGAACTTTTTAACTTTAACAAACTCTAATAGAATTAAGTCTTCATGAGTTAAACCTGCTTTGAGTTTGTATCGTTGTCGTTCTCACGAACAACAATAATGTAATCAAAGATCTGGTTGTAACGTTTTACGAACTCCAAATTTTCTTAACTTTAAGAATGTAAATGAATTAGAATTTATATATTTTTGTCTGC